CAGTGGCAGCAGAGTTCAGTCTAAATACTCAAATGTTTCTGCTGTCCAAAAAGGAGCTTTGGATGTCTGATGGATCAGTGGGATTTGGAGAAGGAGCTGATGTAGCCTTCACCAAAGGTAAAAAAAGGTCAATTGTACATTCAGCATATTATGAAAGCTAAAACAGAACCACTTTTTAACAAGAGCTGAATATGTATTGTACTGGTTTTATAACCCCTGCATAAACTATGTATTTCCACTGCAGAAAAGTAAAATACAGAAGCACTAAAAATGTGGTGTGACTTAGTGTAATTGAAGCAGGCTTTGGTTCTGTTTATGGGCTCTGAGAGGAAAAACATTCCAAAGGCAGGTGCGGAATTCGGGCGCCTATGTCTGAAACTGCAGTTCTGGAAACTCTTGCTCAGTTACTGCACAATCACATGTTCCCCTCACTCTGGTTGTTTTGCTTTGAAGCTGACCACTCTAGAACTTCTTGCCCCATTTTGAGAGGGCTAAGGAATTTCAGAGCTTAGGTTATTCCAGTCAGAAGTGCAGGAATTTAATACTTGTACACCTGAGGCTCCTTGGCTTGATCACGCAGCCGTTCTCAATTGCAGACTGGATGCACAATAACTGCAACTGCATTCAGCCAAGCTGCTCAGATTCATTCTTGATTTTTTTTTTTTCCACTGCTGGCCCAGGGCAGGTGCTCTCACACACACTGTACTCACTCACTGACTGGAGCTGTTATCAGGTTCCAGGGAAACTCCTGGTAATGGCAGCGTTGGACCAGAAATAATTTTGGTTATCAGTCTGAAACCCAAATGTCCTGTTAAGAACTTTATTTTGCTATCAGGTGGGATAGTTTCTTATACGTGAATATGGGTTGCCCTCTAGTGAAGAGAAAGGAAAAGCTTGCTTAAAAAAGAGCCGTGCTGTGAGAACCACGCGTCAGTACGAATTGTAACAGAAAATAAGCCTAAAGCCCATGATAAATTAGTAGTAACAGCCATGGAACAGCCTGTCTTCCCGGGCAGAGGGAAATACACTTAGAGCTCGATAATACCTGTTCTGAGAATTTTTAACAATAACGGTTTGGTAGTAACTTGATTTAATAATTTTAAATGGACCGGTGTAATGTAAAATGTATTACTCTGCTTTACTAGGATCTGAAATCTGTGGCCGAGTGATGGTGGATCCAGCTCAGAATCTTGGTGACTCCTTCAGCTGCAGCATCGAGATGGTGTTCCTTTGCACTGGTGCTGATGGGTACATGCCCAAGTACAGCCCAGGCAATCAGGAATATGGATGCCGGGCTGACTCACCCTCCCTCTTGTACAGATTCCAGATCCTGGTACGTAACCAAACAGTTATGGTAGTGTGCATTTTTTTTAGATCCCTGATTTCCATGTGAATCTGGAAATACGAAGCCTTCTTCCTTTAGGCTAAAGCTCACCCTGAGACACAAGCAAGAGCCTTTGGAAACATAGCGTTTCATGCTACATTAGCAGCTGATCACGCAGATGCTTTTCCTCTAGTAAAACACTATTGATCCATCAGATCTATCAGATATCCAAAGCTCCTTTTGGACAGCAGAAACACTTGAATATTTAGACTGAACTCTGCTGTCACTAGGTCACTGACCTGGTGGTAAAAC